CAGGTGGCGGGCTTTAAAGATATTTATGCTGCCCCATAAGCTGGCAAAGCCAGAACTAAAGAGCACATCAGTGGCACCGCGGCCAAACATCAAGTATACGTCATATTGCGCAGAGCTATGCAAAATATTTTTCATTATCAAACAGCCGCACGTACCGCATGTTTTCAATTTTAATAAAGCCGTCATGATGGCTGCTTTTCGTTCGTATTTAATTTACAATGCCAACAGAAAATAAATGAAAAAAACTGCGCATAATTATGTAAACAAATATAGGCGTCTTTTGAAGTGTAGCTCAGACTTGAAATTTATATAAAAATAAAAAATGGCTGCAAATAATGTTGAACCGAACCGACTTGAAATCGGTAATTTCCGAATTTTTCTCTAGAATGAACCGAGTATCTGCTGCCTAATCGAAACCCGATTCATTCTTTAATCGCTAGTTATGTTTTAGCTAGGAATCAAAAGGTGGCTTCAAATCAGGTTCATGAACTGAACCAAAAGGCAGGGCGTTGGTTTGAACCCTAAACTGAACCAGTGACTAATTATTTTCGGTTTGCCGCCCTGAAAAAAAATCAACTAGATAAAAGCCTTAGTCGAAAATTCTCAGGTGAGAATTATTTATCCTAAATAATAAATATATATTTGTTTGGGGCATATGAGTGATATAATAGGCGGTTCTTTTAAGTATTGATCGATTGATTGCTTGATTGATTGATTGCTCGATTGCTTGATTACTTAATAGCTTGATTGCCTGATTGTTTTCATTCACAGGCACATAAGCTATTAAGTATAGACCCGCAAAACATTTTCTAGCAGGTCATTTAGAAAGCTATATATATATAATATATATATAAATATATATATATCTTCACGTAGTACAAGCCAAGACGATAAGCAAACATTTTAATGGGTATACCCATATAAGAAAACGATACGACTTCCTGTTCGATATGGTTCTGAACTTGTTTGTTCCGAATCTTCTCTTATGCTCAAAATATGGACTCTTTTTTCTTAAGGAAAGTAAAAGCCCTTAAAGAATTGTAAAGCTTGATTTACTTAGTAAATGGCCCACCTGAAACTCAAATTCCCATTACATTGTTAAAACTGAAGCAGTTTTCATGATTGAGTCCTCAATAGCGTGAACTCTATTAATAAACTGATCAAAAAATTGGCAAAGTTTTTCTTTTACGAAAATGTTATGTAATAAAATACCATGAATAAATTGACAGCTTTCAAAATGCTGCTCAATAATAAAGAAAATTTCAATATGCAAAATTTTGAAAAACAAAAATGGTGAAAAAATGTATCTAAAGGAGTAGGGGATGGCACATGATATTTTTATATTGTAGGAGAGCAAGGGAAGAGTACATGATATTTTTATATTATATTACGAAAAACTCGAAAGCCAATTTATTCGTTTTGTGAAATTGCTATATAATGATGGAAACTCCGAGACATTTGCAGTGCCATCATTAAAATATGTCTGCACATTCATGTGTGCGAAACAAATATGCAGAAACGATTGCTGATTTTGGGACTTGTGTTTAGTCATGCTTAGAATTTTCCCGAGAATGCGTGCCAAGCAAAAGGACAACAGTAAACAATTGTCGCGGCTAAACGGAAATCCTGCGACATAAAAACAATAAGTACCTGAGCTGGAACTGGAAATCGAATTGGTGGCTGGGCGGGGGCAAAAGGGCGGCGATGGCTTAGCGAGGCTGCAAGAGAAACATTTGTGTTTACAAATCGATTTTGAAATTGCGCTTATCAGCAAATATATATATGTATATATATATATTTATATATAAATCCCAATATCCCAAGCGTAAGCCAGACAAAATGTCGACATGTTCTCTCGCCTTGAAGTAGGCCATGAAATTCGTTTGTAATCGCCTCGCCCAAGATGCGAGCAGAGCTCATAAAGTGCAGGGCATGACAAAACTGGGCGGGGCAAGGCTGGCTAAGGATCTCAGAGTAGACAAAAGAGCGATAAGTACACTCTTGTATGTCATATGTGTGTCTGTTTGTGTTAAGTGGGCGTGGCCATTGTGTGTGTGTGTGCATGTGTGTGCATGTGTATGGGTGTGATGTCGAGCTTAAGTTAATAGCGAATATTTACAAATCGATTTTGTTGTGATTGCGAAAACAATTTGAAAATAGCTTTGAGCGATTTCCAAAGAACTCAAACGGCATGCTGGCAAACATGGCCGCCCACACACACAAGCACACACACACACACAGCTAACCACATATTCGCACCCACACACATGCGCATTTGTGACAATGGGAATGCTGCAAAATTCGCAGTCGCCGCCGCCTTCAATCCTTTCCATTGTTCTCTTGCACACACACACACACACACACGCTGCAATGCACTCACGAGTTGGCAATTGAAATAGAATAGTCTTCCTGCAGTCGCCGCAACCATTTGTCAGCAACGCCTGACAACATTCACGTTTGCCAATTTGTCGCGACTGTCGGAATAAATGCGTCCAGCTGATTGACTAACCGACAGTTCAGGAGATTGAAAGATTCCTCCAGCAAATGCATTTGCCCATGGACTCTATTTGCGTGCATAGTATTCCAATAAATGATGTGTGTGTGTATGTTGAAAATTTTGAGCCTGAGCGCGTGTTGCATTTCGTGACGACACGAGTTCGCAGTGCGTGTTTACGATATTAATTTCGTGCGTGTTCGTGTTTATCAGAAGGCCCAAAAAGAGTAATAAAATTTAAAAAACTACTCAACATAAAAATATACTCATATAAAATGAATTAGGCAATATCGCAGATGATCACTTCGTGTTCGTGTCGAATCGCAGGCATTTAGCACGCGTTCATCTCAATGGAAATATTAAATAGTTTTATAATATGATAATAGGGAAATAAGTGGGAGAGCGCTATAAACAATTTTGTCGCAGAGGATGATACTTTCAGATGTATATATTATTTATATAATATGATAGATTTTTTATGTAAATTTTGAAGGATTATATTCTTGGGCGAATTAACCGCGAATAGAAGACAGACAGCTGTCAGCAATTACACTATGCAACGGAGTTCAATTATTTGAATGATGAAACCAATATTTGGTTATGGATTTGCGGTCAATAATAACGAAATGGATTTAAAGTATAAGCAATGTTAGAGACTTGAAATGTTGAACGTACGTGCGTGCGCATTATGAGTTTGTTTACGATAATCGATAACTTGTCCCTTTCCAAGCAATCGATAAAAATCTATAATGAAATCCTGCTTTTTGAGCAATCTTGTTGGCATTTAGAGTCACCAAATTTTACAAGTAGCTTCTAGAACAGTCATGTAGTTTCTAGCCGATCACGTATCTTTCATTTTATAGCCACATCCAGGGCAAGCCAGAATACTATAATAGCTCTTGAAAAACCAGACACACGAAGCGAATCGGTAAACAGTTAGTTGCTTAGCTTTTCAAGGTTTACCGTCGTTAAAGATATATCCAAAATTTACAAATGGCAAACTTTGTATTGACCAGCAGCGTTGTAAAATGTTTTTTATTGAGTTTCATGCTTTAACATAAAATATAAGAATCGATGTGAAGGGAACCAAGTATCGTACATTTCAAATGAAATGGAGTGAAATTTTTAAGGCCCTACTGCGGCTGATCATCGTCCTCGCCGTTCTGTTCCATGCCAAAGTCCTGGTCCTTCAGTTCGTCCTTGTTTGGTTGGTGCTGCCGCTGTTTACGCCGTTGCCGGTCCTTAAGCTTAACAAATCCTCGCATCTTCAGCTTCTTGTGCAGCGGACTGTGCGAGTGCTCAACCTGTGGATAATCATTGGCATCGCCGTCAGCGTCGGCATCTGCTTTGCCAGCAGCAGCATCGGCTTCAGTATCCGCGTAGACATCACCATCGCCAACCTCTTCGTCCTGTTCATCCTTGTCCAGCTTAAGGGCGGTTATGTGTGCCATTGGTTTCTGATGTTTGCGTTGCCGCTGCATATCATCGCCAGCCAAAAGAGCATCGGCAGCGGCAAAGTCCAGCCAGCCGGTTCTCTTCTCCTTATCGTTCCCTATTTCCTTGTCGTGGTCAAGATAATCCGACTGGCTCTGCTTCTCCACGGTGTGCTGGCTTTCATCCTCATCGTAATTGTAGTAGCCACGCTTTCCCACCGCCGAAGTGTCGAAGGCATGCTTCGCCCCCGTATCCAAGGCATAGCTCTTGGCCAAACTGCTACCAAATAGCGCAAGGAACATAAATGCCAGGAAAACATTCTTATTATTCATGATGCCGATGTTACTTTGTGTAGCTCTCAAGACTGAACTGAAATCCAAGCGAAGCAACTGTCTTAACAGTTGCCTGGAACATGAAGCCTACTGTGGATTACAAATTAAATAGCAGTAGGTGGCATTTCAGGTTAGGCACATTCAAGTGAAATATTATGCGAAAAAGTCGTTTCAAATTCTTTGAAATTCTAATGAGATGCTTAGTTGGCGCGGCAAATCTAGCAAACATTTAAGTTGGTTCGGTTCAGGGATCAAGCTAGCTGCCTAACTTATGACTTGGTCTTTAGTCAGGCTTGCCACATCCAACTCATTTGGCTTACGACTAGCTTCATGGCAAATAACTTTTTGGATGCTTAACTCGGGTTGATTCAGCGCTAGAGTTTACTAAGCAAGTAATAATGGCAAGGCCGAGTATACCCCACTGGGAATCTAATAGTCTGAGAGCTGTTTTTGGCAAAGTTAATGGCATATACCATGAGGATAAATTGAAGTGTGCTTTAGCATATCGATTGCAATTAATTAATAACCTCACGCGACATGATTAATTGCTGCGAAAAGTTCAAGTTAAATGTTATTCAGTATTTATTGATTTGCATGTTGATATCAAAATATCAATATAACAAGTTACAAGGCGGATAAAGTGCCTGGCAATAATGCCAACGCGCTTAAGGGCAATCTAGAGAGATCGCACGTAAGGATTTATGTATAACTAATAAATCGGACCTGAATTCTCGAATTCATTTCACTATATATAACGTTTTAATCGAAACTGAAAGACAATTTTATGCTGCGACTACATCGCGAGTAATGCCCGAGAGTAAGCCCGAAACACGCCGTTCTATGGCAGCTCGATTTGAGACTAGACGTCTGAGATTCTCCTTGAATTCCTGAACATGTTGCTGTAGCTCAACATTATTTTGCTGCTGCCGGAAGCGAGCCGCGGTGGCCGCCTGCACCGCCCGGGCCAGGCGCAGCTCGTTGAGGGCGTGCAGATAGCGACGGCTCTCAATCAAATTGGGTCCCCTGATTGACCAGGGCAAAACCGAGCGGCGGGTAAGCAACTGCAGCAGCGGCGGCACAATAATGCGAGCCGAAGGCACCACAAATGGCAGTTGCACATAGCTGAAAGGGGCCCCGTTCAGGTTCGACTGTTGCTGCAATAAGCCTAGCTCTTTTTTGGTTTCAGCTCCGGCTTTTAGCTTCGCCTTCTGCTCGCTTGAACTGTCGCTTAAGTACGGAATACTCTTTGATTTGGATACATCCTTACCAATGCCATCCGCATCGGTACCGACCATGTTTAAGTAGTTATTCTCTTGGGTCTTCGCATTGTTTAGTTTCATCGGACGTTCTTTTATGCCGCTCGATTTCGAACATTTCTTTTTGCCTTGGTAAAAGTTCTTGGGTGATGCAGATGACTTGCCTGGCAATAGGCCCGATTCCAGGGCCTTGAGATCATCTGACAATAATTTTGTATTCTCGTAAAGCGTGCGCAGAAGGCATTTAACGCGTGCTGTAAAATCCTTCCCACCATCATCGTCAACATCATCGTCATTATTGTCTTCATCGGACGCATCATCATTATCATCATAGTCATCCTCGCTGACTGTTGGCCCAGTCGGCGCTGACTTCTCGTAGCTGACATCCTTGTAACTCTCAGCCGAGCAAATGAGCGGATTGGTCCTGTATTCAAACAAGCGTTCGGCATCGCCGACGCTGTTTTGCAACAGTTGCGGGCTTTGGGGCTGGAATTCCAATTTGAGTTCGAGCTGCTTCTGGGGGGCCAAATATCTAAAGGCGCTTAGCCCCATATCTGGCGCCATACAGGAGTTGGGCACATAATTGGGTCCCTGGGCCAGCGCATTCTGTGAATGCAGCATCGCCTCATCCTCGTCCTCGCCCAGTCCCAAGCTAAATGCCAGCCAAAGGCAAATGCTTAGCAACACAGTCAGCAATTGCATTTCCATGGAATTCTTTTATTTTACTTTTTCGACTGCCTCCTCAGATACGTTCAGCTCTAATACACAATTATTATGCACAGCACAAACAGTTGTGCTGTTATTGAAGCCTGTTGGGTAGACTACTAGATGCATATTTCCCTAATAAAGGCTATACTCGGGTATACTAAAAGGGCACCAAAAACAAAGCGAATTCATTAACTGTACACAGCTCAGTTTTGGACTATTATATAAATGATAATAAAGTTAAGAAATATTCTCAATTACAAAAGAACACCCTTTGCATGCATTTATAAATATGACCGATAACTCAATTTTCGTCCAAGCTTAAACTTCTTACATTTAAGAAACAATCCAACATGGATGCAAAAAATGAGCGGAAATCTATACAACTTTCCAATTTATTTTGTTTTCTTAATCGTTGTTAATTTCCGTAGAGTAAAAGTTATAGATCAAGCCGGGAAATGAAAGAAAAACTGTTGATGACAACTTCTTGGAATTTTATCCGAACGATTTCAACTATCAAGCGCCCAGCTTCTCATAATTTCCGGAACAAATGGGGAAGATATTCAAAAACTGAAATACTCTAGTCCTGTGTATACTATACAAGAAATCACATACCAAAATTTGTTGTCTTTAGCTTTTACAATCCTCGAGTTACGCCTCAGGGCTTAACACATTAGTGGCATTCCTTTAGCCACGCCGCTTACAAGTATTTCTTAAGATTAGAGGTGTTCTTAAGGCCAGCACAAAATGTCTAAGACATTTAAGATATTTCAAACTAACGCCTTACGAAAACTTCTTAGCCTCAACACATTTAGGTTCCCACATATATTAAGCTCAGCAGATTAGGGATATTCCCCAACCTGAAATGTGCCTTTGGAGCATTGCTCAAGAGACATTCTGTAAATATTTCAGCATTTTATAATAGAGTTGTTTGCTACCAAGAACGCATTTTAGTTAGTCGCTTTATGAGATTTCTCAAAAAATTTGTTGCTCGAAATGCAGGCATTATCCGTTGTAATCATTATAATTTCCCAGCTGGATACAAATTGTAAATTGCAATGGGACTCATGGACAAGCAATTACCAAATGATATTTCATCAAATTATCCGACTAGAGACCGTTGAATCAAACTTGAAGTAGACGAAGCGCAGGGTAAAGAGTTAAGAGCAGATATGTTGCGTAGCAACGGGGATCTGCGGTTGGTGTTGGCAGGCGGGTGGTCGGGCGGGGGGGGGGGGGTGGGTGGTTGTGGGTAGGTGACAGCCACAGCACAAATGACAGCTTGTTGCACACAACAAATGCATTTGCCATAAGTCCAACGGAGGAGATGGCATCGCCGTGCGGCTGTCAACACATCCGACCCGCCCACAGCATCCGCTTGTGGACGCCCGCAACGAGCAACTTCCCTCTGCTTATCTGTGTGTGTGTGGGCGTGGGCGTGAGTGTGTGTGTGGGCATGAGTGTTGGTGTTGCGTCTGCTATTTCTGTAACTTGGGCATCTTGGCCGTAGTTTGCCATTTTTCTTCATCTTTTGTGCTGCTGATGAATTCGTTAGACGCAGAACGGCAGCAGCCAACAATCCCCCGTGCCCCAGATAACCACGAACCGCACACGGTCCACAGACAGACGCAATAGCATAACCATAACCATAACCACACGGCCCTCAAACGCAATGACGCCCACGCCTGCCTTGGCTTACGCTTGAATTCATTTCCCTGTTGCACCTTTAGGGAATTGTGCAGGTTGGTAAAAAAAAAAAACAGTTAAAGGAAATAGGAAAATGTAAATATATCGTGATAACTGAAATTTTCAACATCTTTCTGTTTGACGTCGACTGCAGAATCGAGCAGCGAAGGGCCGCCAAATGAAGCAGCCGCTAGACCAGCATCAAAGTGCCTCCGCAAAAATGCAGGCGGATGACAGACCGCAGCGTCAACAATAAAATAACAACAACATAAATCCAGTAAAGCAATGTCATGTTTTCTTTTTATACCTGGTCCGCATAAGTATAACATAAAATATTCTCAATCAGCATCAGTTGTGCAGCCCCTGCAGCCATGCAAAGCCAACACATCAGGACTTTTAATATAGACTGTTAATGTCATAGCATAATATGCCAGCGGGCATTACCCGGCTTTGCCTGTTGCATATGTTTTTTCTTTAAATTTTAGACAGTATTCTTTCAATCATTTCCGACTAGGGGAAAGTTTTTATCTGAACTATCGTTTACCTCACGCCTCAAGTGACATTTCAAGAAGATATTTGAAAATGAGTTTGAGTTTGACCAATTCTGTTCGGAGGGTTTACTTCGATGAAACACTTTGTCGTCCTTAAGTCATTTTTTATCTTTTTATATTCATTTAAAGACAATCGGGCGCTAAGAAACTTTCGCTTATACTACCCTAGACTCATATTTACACCCGGAGACGTGGAATTACTGGAAAGTGTGAAACGCGTGAATTTTCAAAAAAGATTTCTAATTATTATAGTTTTTGTCGTAGCTGTCACACAGCTGAAGAGGATACAGGCAATCTGGGTTTTCGATTCCACATGCTTGTTTTAGACCCGTTGAAGCCTCGCAGCACCACCTAGTACAATAGACACCCTTCTTCATTCCTTTTCTGTCACCTCATACACCATCAGACAACACAATGGGCACATGGCTGGGTGAGCTCGACCCGCCCTTTCGAGTGGCCTGCAAACTATACCCAAATTGAAAATAACTCTATTCGCTTTGGTAACACAATAAGATATGGGTTTATATTTTTTTAAATTAACTACTATTTTTATAATTAATAATTGAGTTCATCTAATTACTTATTGACTGTTATTCATAGCACAGTTTGGCGATCGGCAAACAATCGCCATCTTTGAAGGAAACTTATTATGCCGCACAACCCAAGCAGCTTTAAGCTCTTCAAGCCGCAAGCTTTGGTCCTCGCAAGCTCAGGCTACTCGAAGTGTCACACCAAATGTTAGCTTAAGCTTGCGAGCTTACAAATGCAATCCACAAAACAGCTTTTAACGGCTTTTGTCGCAATAAAATAAAATACAACTGACACGAGCAACAGCAACAAGAAACATGTGTGCGAGTGTCATTGGCTTCGCATACTTTGGACCACATAAATCATAAGTCGCATCAAGCATACGCCGTGTTGCACTGCAGACCAGCCCAACTGCGACACACATGCCCCCTCCCCACCCTCAGCACTGTCTCAAAAAAAAGGCCAAACCACTTGAATTTTGTTCAAACTGGACAAAAAATTATTTATATCGCGGCTGCTGATGCCAATTGTCAGTTTTATACTTCGTTAAAACTTTGTCGCTGACAAAGTTGCGAAAAACTTTTAAGCTGTACTTTTGCTAAAACTGTTTTCAATTGACTTGGAAAAGTGTTAGCGCAGCGACAAGCTGTTGGAAAAACTGCTTATCAAGCATGACTGAAAATGCTGAATGGCACACACACACAAACACAGACGCACACACACACACACACACATACACATACACAAACAGCCCTTAAGGCCTGGCTAGCCCTGTGGCCGCGCATTCATATTTATTCGCTGGTATATTTGCATTCATGATTGGTTCTGCTGTGCACGTTGGCATCAAAGGGTTTTGGGCATAAAAGGTTTTGCCACTTTGCATACAATTTTCCGTTTCAACAGGGTACGGGGGGGGGGGGGGGGGCGTGGCTCTGTTGGCCAAGCAACAAATGCCAGCCAACCAGTGCCAGCGGCAAACGCGGCGTATGCGCAATACGAGCGCTTGATCAACAGCGCGTTTAACCCAAGGCTAATGCGTCGCAACGTGAGCCCAAGATCCCGCCCAACATGTGACATGTGGCGTATGGCACGTACATAGCCGCGTGCCGCGTGCCACATGCCGTTTACGCCTTGCCACGTGCCAAATACGTAAAAGGGCCAAAAATAAAGTTCGGCTACTGCGACTTTGTTTGAGATTTGAGCCGTTTTTGTTTTGCTCGACGCATTCCGCCCTGCTTGCCACGTGACGGGGCGCACAGAGCTTGCATGCCACAATCCAATAAGCAACACACGCAAAAGCTGCCACATGCAGATGTTGCGAAAGCTGCCACAAGAGCCTGCCGCGTGCTGTGTGATAACCAGACGCAGGCCGTGCCGTCAGCCTCGTCCACATGTGCGTTCGTCCGGCTCGACGGTCTCTCAGTTCTGCTGACAACGCCAACAGCTGCAGTCGCAGTCTCGCAGTCTCGCAGCACAGACGCACAGATAAACACGCGGCTTTCTCAGACAAACGCGCGCGACTCAACATGCCACGCGAATCGGGCAGTAGTAGGAGCAACAGCAGCAGATCGCTGGCCGTTTGAATTTTGCGGGCTATGCAAATTGCAAATTCGATGCGCCCTCTTATTGAGTGTATGGGTGCGTGTGTTTAATTTAAACGCGTAATTGTTTGTTTTTTGTTGTTTTTTTTTTTTGCTTAATTTTTGTGTAATATACAAGTGACAGCAGCAATATATAAACACGAGTGCATATTTAAATGAATTGTTTGCTTAACAAAAGGCAATAAGTAAATAAAAATAAATGCTTGAATCACAATTTCTATAATCACACCATAAAACAAAATTTAATTAAAATCAAATAAACAGTAGTAGGAGTAGTTGAAATTATACAAAATGTAATAAATAAATGCCTTGCATAGGAAGGCAAATTATTTCTTTTACATTTTAAAAATTAACACAATGCAAATAGGCTACATTTTCTTTTGTTAAATTCTTTAATTATCTGGTTGGTCGATTGGGTTTTCTTTTGTGAAAAATAAAATACATACATAAAATATATAATAATATTTAAAATATATATATAAATACATAATAATCAATATAAAATATATTAAAAAACAATTTATTTGAATTATTTTATTCCTTAAAATAAAATATGAAACAATGTTAATATGCTTTTAAGGCATATTTATATAAGAAATATAGAAGAATAAATAAAAAATATATAAAATAAAAATTCATTGAAATTTTATAATATCAAATTAATAAATGAATCAAAGTGAATCAAAGTGATTCCTATTTGATAAGAATAAAAAATAAAAATATATATAAATATTAA